CACTGGTGTCCCCAAATGCCCTGTGCGACACAAAGAGGGTGTCACTAGTGTCCCCAATCCCATGTGTGACATGATGGGGGTCTCCAAATCCCCTGTGTGACGCATGGGAGGGGTCCCCAGTGTCTCCCGCTCCCACATGTGATGCACTGGGGTCCCCAGTGTCCCCAACTCCCCCCCACCGTGTGACACTGTCCCCAATAAACCCGTGTGACACATGGGGCTCCCCACGTCGCTTTGACCCCGTCGCCGTCACCCGCCGAGGACGGGGCGTCACGTTGTCCCCAAGGAGCCAGCACAGGGACAAACGAGGGCCCTGCCGCCCCCAAAACTGCAGCGTTTCCCCCCAAAAGAGCAGGCGGGCGGGGGCCACATCACAACACCTTTATTGGGGGGCGGGGGGTGGTCCCGGGGCCCGCGCTGGGGACGCGTTGGGGACAGTGTCACTCGAGCGCCTGCAGCATGAGCAGCTGCTTGAGCACCTTGGTCTGGCTGGTCTCGCGGATCTCGCCCGCCAGGAACATCTCGTCCACCACCGTGTACACCTGGGGACACGCGTGTCACCTCCCGTGGGGACACGCGTGTCACCTCCCGCGGGGACACGCGTGTCACTAACCCCTACACCTGGGGACACGCGTGTCACCTCCGTGGCACCAACCCGCGGGGACATGTGTGTCACCTCCCGCGGGGACACGCGTGACACCGACCCCTACACCTGGGGACACGCGTGTCACCTCCCGCAGGGACACGCGTGACACCGACCCCTACACCTGGGGACACGCGTGTCACCTCCCGCGGGGACACGTGTGTCACCTCCCGCGTCACCAACCCGCGGGGACACACATGTCACCTCCCGCGGGGTGACGCGTGTCACTAACCCCTACACCTGGGGACACGTGTGTCACATCCCGCGGGGACACGCGTGTCACCTCCCGCAGGGACACGCGTGTCACCTCCCGCGTCACCAACCCGCGGGGACACGCGTGTCACCTCCCGCGGCACCAACCCACAAGGACACGCGTGTCACCTCCCGCGGGGACACGCGTGACACCTCCCGCGGGGACACGCGTGACACCGACCCCT